TTCAAATTAAAAATATATATATTTTTTACGAACGGTTTCGAAGAAATGACGAAAATGGATGAAAATACACAATTTTACAACTTTGTAAAACAAACACAATTGTACAAAATATTTTTTCAATTATTAAAAATGAAAAAAATAATAAAGAAGGGTTACATTGAAAAGACACAACCATAAATAAATTAAAAATAAATAAAAATATTTTACGATCTGTTACGATGAAAAGACGCAACCGTATGAGATATTTATTTAGATTGTTATTATTGTATAACATATTTAACAAAAGTTACAATGAAAAGACACAACCATATAAAGCATTTTTTAGATATCAAATAGTTTACGATGAAAAAACTCAAACGGGTGAAAATAGAGATATAATCAAAAGACGCGACTATAGATATCAAATATACCAATGGCTGCAACAGTTCGTCAAATTTATATATATAATTAGAGAGTTTTCTCTCCTACTAGCCTATCCACCTAAGCATCCACTTAAGTAACACTATTTATTGTACATTAAAATAAATTTTAAACATTATTTTTTTTTGTCATCAAATTTTAAACATTCATTTAGTGCATATTTATGTTACTTATAATTAATATAAAAAATAAAATAAATAAAAAAACAAATTATGTAAAAAAAATGAGATGCTAATATAATAAAAAAATAATACTATTAAAGTTTAATTAGTAGTAATAATATAATTCAACTTTTAACAGATAAAAATTAAAAATGATTATACTTCAAATTTCTAATTATGTAATATTTTAATTTAAATGCATGGTAGAATAAAAGTATAAAACTAAATTTATGCAATTCTATATGTAAGATTTTAAACAAGAAGATGAAATTTATAGTAAAGCATTAGTTTCTAGTTTCTAATTTTATTTATTATTAAATATTTTCTTAAAAAGGAAAAAAACTTATTGAATTCAACTTAGATTTATAATTTAAGCCTAAGATATTGTAAGATTCACATTTTATCTTGTAAAATTATAAAAACAAATCTTGAAAATTTTAAAACGTTATCATTCATCTTTAAAAAATAAATAATCAATGATCACATTATTCATGAATTCTACAACAAACTATACAAAAAATGATATGTAAGCTGTTAAAAAAAAGTGATATATAATTTGTGTAGCATATTCTCATGTAGAACTATAACTTTATAACATGATAAAAAAAAGGTTTGATTTTATATCAATTGAATACAATGCTTTTAACTCAAAAAACTGAGTATGGAAAGATATGAATTAAGGATAAAATAGTTATGATATGTCTTGAAAATTAGTATACTATTCTTATATACTAATTTTCAATCTTAGTATACTATTGTCTTTAATTCATCTACATATTCTTATACTATTTCCATATTAATCATCTCCAGATACTTAGCAGTTATCATACCTAATTGATTCACTCCATTTTTACAAAAATCAAAACAAATAACTTCTCACATACCTTAAGTGTATATTGTTCCTTCAGTTTCGCCAATGCAATCTGCAACAAAGTTTTTTTTTTTATCTGTCAATTTAAATTCCTTCCAAATATGTGTTTCCCTCTACTAAGCTACCATTTCGCACTTGACATATTCTTAAACTATTTCCATAATCAAATATGTCCGGATGCTAATAATACCTAATTGATTCTACTGATATTTCCTCACATACCTTATCATGTCTATTGTTCCTCCATTTTCGTCAATGCAATATTTAACAATTGTATCTATTTAAATGACTTCCAAATATGTATTTTCCTCTACTAATTGAATTTATGTTCCCGCCTATCCTCTGTTCATATCACAACCTATTTATTGCTAACCATTATTCTAGATTCCATAATTATAACAATGCAGAGATTTTATGCCGATTTAGTCGAGATTGCGATACCAATATGCTTTGTGATCAAGTTTTCTTTAACCTAATCTATGACCCTATATATAGTTCCATATCTAACCTCTCATTATCATCAGCACTCACAACCTCTAATCTAAACATTTTCTCTAAACATAATCGAGCAAACAATGACTGCTGCACTTGCTTACCTCAAAGATGTCATGCCATACACCACATAGTGGAGAGTCCAAGTGAAGGTACTTCACTCCTGGCGGCAGTACACAGCCAACACTGGTGAAACTCTAGAGTTGGTGTTATCTGATATTGAGGTAATTCAGTTGCATATTAATTGGGCTTGAACTTAACTTACATTAAATCATTTAAAAACTACTATTTTTATCTGACTCTACTGTTTCTATAAACTTTCACAGGGTAAGAAGATTCATGCTACTGTGAAAAAGGAACTGGTGAGCAAATATGCCTCAAGTTTACCTGTTAGTCATTGGGTTTTCATTGAGATCTTTGCTCTCAATTATGCCAGTGGCCAGTTCCGTCCAACCTCTCATCTATATAAGATGACTTTCACAAATGGAACTCATGTGTTTCCATGTGATCCCGTCTCTGACTCAAGTTACCTGACACTAGCCAGTTTCAAAAGAATTCAAAATGGAGATCTTAATCCATACATATTGGTTGGTAAGTATATGTTTTATTTAAAGATATTAAATAGAATCAATCTACAGTTTACAAACTTAACATGATATATTTTTTCTCTGCTTTTCTTTTATAGATGTTATTGGCTAGATTGTTATGATTGGAGAGTTGTTGACTCTTGAAGCCAATAACAAACCAACTAGCAAGATTGAGTTTGAAATGAGAAATGAAACGTAAGTGTTTCCAATTTTTTTCTAATATACCTGATACTTATCCTACTGAACATGTTATGTTTTGTACATAACAGTGATGAAATGATCGGTGTTACCTTGTGGGGATCATTTGCTAAGACTGTTTACAGAGGAAGCCAAAATGCTGGTGGGCGTCCTGTTGTCTGTTTGCTGAGGTTTGTGAAGATCAAATCCTTCAAAGGTACATAAAACATAATCTTAGCAACCATATCAATATACTGAGACTGTTTTTATAGAAGTTATGCCTCATATATCTTATTTGTAATCTACAAGTGTAAAGACTTTATCTAACTCATTTGATGCTTCACAAGTTTTTGTGAATCCATCAATTCCTGAAATTGCTGTGTTTGTTCAAAGGTATATTTTACGGTATATTTTGCATATAATTTAACAGTTTATCATATATTTTGCATATATGGAACTAACCTATATATACATGTTTTTGACATATAGTCTCCCAAATGATGGTGCAATGTGTATCTTCCGTGAGAGAGTCTCAAAGTTTGAGATTGTTGTTGCCAATCAGGATGATACTTCTTTAGATCATCCTAGGAAGACCATTGTGGATCTCCTCAACTCTGTTGAGATAATTAGTTATGTTTACTATCATTAGAAAACATTTTAATGTGTATAAATATCCATATTAATATCTAATTTTTTTTTAAGATTCGCAAGGCAAGGTTGATGTGTACTATCTATGCAATTGATACCGACTGGGCTTGGTATTACATTAGCTGTCGTGCTTGCAATAAGAAAGTCACACATATCCACCATGGAGTGAATGGTGTGAATAACAAAGGGAAAAATCCAAGGTTCTGGTGTGACAGTTGCAAATCTGTTGTCACTAATGTCGTGGCTAGGTAATAAACTCTGTTATTGACATGTTATTAGTCTATAGATGTAAAATATATATCTAACATTATTGTTTACATTTTATGTAGGTTTATGCTCTATGCTAAGGTGATGGACAACACTGGTGAAGCTAAATTGTTACTGTTTGATTCAGTTTGCTCTGAAATCATTAGAGAGTCTGCTCCATCCTTAATGGTTCCGTTGATGAGGTTTGATGAACTACTCTATATTTAAATATCTGTTTACATTGTTCTAGACACACAAGTTCCTGATTAGTTTTGAATTTCAGATTGATGATCCAGAAAACATACCAGATGCAGTTAGGAATCTATTTGGAAGGACATTTCTTTTCCTGGTGTGTGTTGAAAAAGAGAATATTTGGGATGGGAAGGAGATATACAAGGTCTATAAAGTGTTACAGAAAGATGGCCTTCACTTGAGGAACAATTGCTGGAGGATTCTCAGGAGTTGGTCAATCCTGCATCTATTGTGTCTGGTGATCAGGTAATTATCGTGTCAGAACATGTTTAGCATAAAACAAGCAGATTGACATGGATTTTCACACTAGCTAAGCTATAGTATTAATTTCATCGTTTGTTTTATTACAGGTGCCACTAATGCTGGAGATGAGTCAAGAGACTTCTGATTCTGTCACTCCATCATCTAAACGTGTTTATGCTGACAATCCCGGTTCTTCTGATCATTCTTCTTTTTCTAAGAAGTTGTGCATTGAACCTATCGACTTTGGTGATCAAGATTCTATTAGTAAGGATCAAGAGGCAAAAGTGAAGGACATAGCTCCCAAGTTTGTTGTGTCCATTAAGGATGATGCTATCAAATCTGAGTCTAAAACTAACAATGGTGGAGTGGGTACACTTGAGGTGAAGAAGGAGGGAAAATGTGTTAAAGGTGGTGTGAAGATCAAGGTTGAAAAGAAGTGAAGAATGGTTGCTATGATTTGATTTATTCCATGCTTTGTTTTCTTATTGCTTTCAGATTTCTAAGACTTTGCTTTCTATTATTATGATGCAAGATTGGAATCACTCCAACTTTAGATCACTTGATGATCAAGATATTCCAAGCTTTTCACGTGGATGGTGGGATGATGAAGGTGGTGATCTGACACGATGGCGGTCGCTTCTCTCGTTTGGGATCGATTCAAGGGGAATTGATGGATAGAAGGGTGATTGACTCGCTCAATCAGTGGGGTAATCGACTCACTCGATCAATGAACGAATGAAGGATGTTGAATCACTCAACAAACTTAATCCGCAGAATCCTGAAGTACTTAATGACTCACTCACAAAGAACTACAGAACAATGGCAAAGACTCAAACTTTGACAAGAAAAAAACGTTTCTATTACTTTAATATGATCAAGGGTGATTTACAATGAGACTAATGATCAGCTTATATAGGGCTGAGTACAACGTTCTAAGACTTCAAAGAAAGAAACAAAACATTGATGAAAATATTGGTCATTAAATGTAAAATCGGTCCAAGTAAGGCAAGTGAGGTGTGCCTTGTATCTTGTCAACTTGGGGAGGAAGTTGTGACGTCTTAGAAGCTTCTGGAGGGTCTCAAGATTCTCAGACAAGCGCACAAATAAAGAAGGAAAGAGTTGTTGCAAGTTGATCTCCTTCGGCTCCATATATGGCAAGTAATAACTCTGCGGGTTCTTGTGTGGTAAGGTGTACCAAAGTTTGTGTGGTACATGTCTTGTGTAGCCTAGATGTTCTCCTGGTTTCCATGTGTAGCTTTGAGGTGCGTCCAAGTGTAGAATAAGGAAGATTTCCTTGTTTGGCTTCATTTGACGTAGTACTTCAGAAAGTAGTTCAACGAATAGTTCAGCAAGTAGTGCAGCCGGTCTGTCAGCAAGTACATCAGCTATATGTACTTGTAACATCTTCGAATCAATTGCTTGGTAAATGATTCCTTGATGACTTGATGTTGCCTCGTTAAAAACCTTTCTAGGTAAACCCATTGGGACAAACCCTAGATAAGGGAAAAAGAGTGCAACGGTCAAATTCCCATAACATGGTGATTCAGCTCGCTGGTCTTTAATTCCTCTTGAACCATCATTAGTCTTCTTAGGGTTAATTTGCTGGTGAACAATTAACCCTAGGCCTTGTGCTTGATTAGGACTCCATTTGGGCAAGAATCCTCCAAAATGCTCCATATCAACCGGTTTGATATATGTACCGGCTGGTTTGGTATACTCCCGGTTTGGTTTGATTTGGATGTCCGCATCATACCCTCTCCCTTGAAAAAGTTTCGACCTCGAAACTGTACAATCTGCACCAAGAGAAAGCAAGTTAGCTTTCATTCGATTTTGGGAGGCTAAGGTCTTACCTTGGTAGGGTGGCGGTTTGATGATGCCTGGTGCATCAGGTGGCTCTCTTTTGAGCAAGGAAGATAGGATCACTCCTCTATTTTGATCAGGTGCTTTGAGTTGTCGTGTTGCTTCATTAACTCCTCCTCGGGTTTGGGCTTGAGCTTTAAAATGCGGTGGTTCCTCTTTGATTAAGTAAGAGTTTGAAACTCTTCTAGTCTCCATGATAGAGGGTGTTAGCATTAATGTTGCTGGTTCACTCTGGTTTTGAATTTGGTCGGTGACTTTCCTCACTTCCGGTGAATCACTTTTATGTTCCGTGTGTTCTTTATTGGTACCTGCAAGTTCATCAACACTTTTGGCAAGAAAAAAGTGCATTAAAACAGTCATGGGATTAATATGAACAGGTAAAACAAGTTTTGTTTGAACAATTTCTTTTCCACAAAGTGATTCACAAAGTATGTCACAAAGTAGATCAGCTACTTGATATGTCCTAAGACAAGAAATTAGTTCCATAGATTTTTTTATTAAATCTACTTTTTTCTCACACTCTTTAAGGGTTAACAAGTTTATTATCACATCATTCGAATCGCTAGAAACAATTAGAAGTAATAGTTTACTTACCTGACTTAGATTCTCGGTGAGTGTATTTTTCGAAATCAACTTGGTTTGTTGATTTGATGGTTGGTCCGGTGGTTCTTCTTGCAGCAGGATATTGTTGGTAACAATTTCATTCTCCTTAGTGACATATTTGCATATGAAAAGCTCTCGATGTTGTTGTACAACATCATTCGTTGTTGATCCCTCTTTTGGATCCACATGTGTCTCCTTATTACCTACATGTGTCTCAATACTTTTGGCACAAGACAAGTGTATTAAGGCAGTCAAGGGACGTTCATAAACATAATAAAATAAGTTACTTTGAACCTTTTTATGTGTTAGACCAGAATCAACTTCTTGTTTGCTTTGATCCAAGAGTAACCGTAACATTGTTGTGGCTTCTCTTTGATCTTCACAAATTTTAATGGTACCTGTACTTTCACTGGCACTCAAAGACAATATCAAGTTCATTATACTTGAAATTGAAATAATATGGATAGGTTTCTTGAAACTCCTTTCGAATTTAAGATAATGCCAATATCGAACAAGATAGTAAGTTTCGCTTACTTGTGTACCATGTAAAGTGTTCGGTATCAATTCAGCCTTGATGTGGATGATCTTAGAAGCAAGATCAGCTGGTGTTGAACATGGATGTATCATCACACGTCCTTTGAGGGCTGCTTGATCATACATCATATTTCGGTGAACTTGTGATGTTGTTGTTGTTTCCGAAAGTTTTTCCTCAAAACTTATGCCATTCTCAACTTCCTTTAGAGTTGCTGTGTTATGGTCTACTTCTTTAGATGTGTCATCCATGCTATGACATAGACCTGCATCAATAACCTTTGGCAAAGACAAGCGCATTAATCTAGAATTGGGAATTTCTAAACTTGAATTCACTAGACAATCATTGGAGTTAGATGCATTCACTTTCAGCTCTAGTGATGTGACATCCTTTACTTGTCTTTTAGAGCAAGTTGCAGCAAAATGTCCTCTTTTATGACATCTATAACATGTTGGTTCATTTGATTTTAAAGAATTAGAGGACTTACCTTGCTTTATTCAGCGTGTGGTTTAGCATGTGGTTCAAGTACCGGTATGGAACTTGAGTCTCCTTTTGCATCTGTACCTTTCTCATTCATAGCGGAATCTTGATCCGCGTTATGATTGGAACTAACATGATGATGTATAGTAATCTCTCGGCTTGGTTCATTTGGGAGGTAACTGTTTTGAACAGGCTGAGAAAGCATGTGAGGTGCATATCTCTCCCTCATAAGCAACTTTAGTTGTCCCCACGTTTTGAGTGCTGGCTCCTTGAACCATCGTCTATCTTTTTCTTCTCGGTTCCACCAACGTTTTGCGCTTCCCATGAGTTGTTCAAGACAATAGTTGAGCCTCTCTTCTTTGGGAATAGAATAGTATCTAAAGTACTTATCCATGTTGAGTTCCCATTGTAGATAATCTCTCTCACGTCCTGCAAACTCAAAAGATTCAGGTCCAAAATACTCATAACCATTGTCTAGAGATAACCTTAGTTTTGTTTGGTAGGTTCGGGTGGGATTGGATAGTAGTGGGTCTCGACGAGTGCCACGTTTCAGCTCGCCTCCTCTTAGATTAGTGATCCCTGAGTCTCTCTCAGCTAGGTACTCACGTCTACCACGGGGATATGGTTTACGCCACATTGATGATCTCTGAGTCACTTCTTGAGTCACTTCCTGTACTACTCGTGTATTGGTGTGAAAGAACTTGTGTCTCGGTTTTGCTTGACGTGAGGCTGTAGGCCCTCGGTATAACAAGGTGTGATGGTCGAGCTTCTCTTCATGCCTTAGATGACGTTGGTTATGACATTCCTTTGTTGTTGCTCCTTCATACTCCATGGCATCTTCCCATTTAAGGTAATTCTTTTTTTTCTGGAAAAGACATAGCTCGAGTCAATGCAGATTTTGAACCATGGCTGCAAAAATCATCATTAAATTTAATCCATGGTTTAGAATAGCTTGTATTGGTGTTGTATGAGTCAGGCGGTTCTGGTTCTGGTGCTTCACAGCCTGGTTCTTCTCTTGATTCAGAATCTGAATGATCATTGTGATGCCAAGAGATGCTTCCATAGTTGTCTTCCTCATCCGACATGACTTGGTAAGGCTCTTCTCCTTGGATTTCTTCATCCGAATAGAACTCAATGGACTCCATTATCACCTCTGAATTTTAGGGGGCGTAACTCACACTCACAAACACAAAGAAGGAAAAATGTGTCAAAGAGTAGTTCAACAAATATAGCAAGACAATAATTATAAAAAAATAAGGAAATAAATATTTTATTTTGCTTTTTTTTAAAAAAAAAAAACAAAATCGAAAATATAAAGTAAAACAATTTTTATTTCTCTTTTCTTATTTTATAAAAATAAAATTTCGAAAACTAAAAAAAATATGATTTTTATGTTTTTTTTTTATAATTATAAAATAAATAATAAACTGAACCACATAATTTTTTTTTATATATTTTTTTTATCAAAGTACTGAAGCAAATAAGCAAGAACAAAGCAAGAGACAAAATTTTTATTTTATTTTGAATTTTATAAAAATCAAACAACAAAGCTGAAAAATAGAAAAAGATATAGGTTGAAGAGATACAACCTTAGGGGTAGGAGCTTTTAAAGCTCTGATACCAGATGATGCAAGATTGGAATCACTCCAACTTTAGATCACTTGATGATCAAGAGATTCCAAGCTTTTCACGCGGATGGTGGGATGATGAAGGTGGTGATCTGACACGATGGCGGTCGCTTCTCTCGTGTGGGATCGATTCAAGGGGAATTGATGGATAGAAGGGTGATTGACTGGCTCAATCAGTGGGGTAATCGACTCACTCGATCAATGAACGAATGAAAGATGTTGAATCACTCAACAAACTTAATCCGCAGAATCCTGAAGTACTTAGTGACTCACTCACAAAGAACTACAGAACAATGGCAAAGATTCAAACTTTGACAAGAAGAAAACGTTTCTATTACTTTAATATGATCAAGGGTGATTTACAATGAGACTAATGATCAGATTATATAGGGCTGAGTACAACGTTCTAAGACTTCAAAGAAAGAAACAAAACATTAATTAATGAAAATATTGGTCATTAAATGTAAAATCGGTCCAACTAAGGCAAGTGAGGTGTGCCTTGTATCTTGTCAACTTGGGGGGGAAGTTGTGACATCTTGGAAGCTTCTGGAGGGTCTCAAGATTCTCACACAAGCGCACAAATAAAGAAGGAAAGAGTTGTTGCAAGTTGATCTCCTTCGGCTCCATATATGGCAAGTAATAACTCTGCGGGTCGTTCTTGTGTGGTAAGGTGTACCAAAGTTTGTGTGGTACATGTCTTGTGTAGCCTAGATGTTCTCCTGGTTTCCATGTGTAGCTTTGAGGTGCGTCCAAGTGTAGAATAAGGAAGATTTCCTTGTTTGGCTTCATTTGACGTAGTACTTCAGAAAGTAGTTCAGCGAGTAGTTCAGCAAGTAGTGCAGCCGGTCTGTCAGCAAGTACATCAACTATATGTACTTGTAACATCTTCGAATCAATTGCTTGGTAAATGATTCCTTGATGACTTGATGTTGCCTCGTTAAAAACCTTTCTAGGTAAACCCATTGGGACAAACCCTAGATAAGGGAAAAAGAGTGAAACGGTCAAATTTCCACAACATGGTGATTCGGCTCGCTGGTCTTTGATTCCTCTTGAACCATCATTAGTCTTCTTAGGGTTAATTTGCTGGTGAACAATTAACCCTAGGCCTTGTGCTTGATTAGGACTCCATTTGGGCAAGAATCCTCCAAAATGCTCCATATCAACCAGTTTGATACATGTACCGGCTGGTTTGGTATACTCCCGGTTTGGTTTGATTTGGATGTCCGCATCATATTGCTTGCTATTATGTTTTCTAATTCCTTTCTATTGTTACTCTAAGTTGGATGCTATTACCTTTCAATATATCATTTCTTTAAATTATAGTCTTACTCTATATTAATTAACCTAATAGCTATAGTCTTTCGTGCTTATACTATAACTTCATCTATATACCTAATTCATTAGAAAACATAATAGACATACATCTACATGATAGATATAACTAAAATTCCGTCTAACTTGATATATGCAGGATATTAAAATTCTTAGAAGTATATATATTGTCTATATATAATCTACACTCAATCTTCCATATTTGACAGGCAATCTTTAAAAGTAATCATTTTGTAACTGGCAACTTTTTCAATCATTATCAATGTCTCTATAATCTAAAAAATATAGAGTATATTAGTAAAACAATTAATAACGTTTCGATTTCCTTTTTATTCTTTAACAATTTTTATGCCTCTTCATCAATCTCTCTATATAACCACCTAGACCTATCGTTTAGAATGCATAAAGAAACACTGTAACTTCCCTTTTCAAAGCAGAGCAGAATCGTAAAAAAAAATGGTTGATATGCATTTTCTTTCCCAAATTCGTGTTAACTCTACAGAGTGGAGCGTTTCTGTTAAGATAATGCGTATCTGGCATCACAATCCACCATTGAATGGTGATGTAACCACAATGATTCTAGTAGATGAGAAGGTTTGTTTGTAATTCTTATCTTCTGTTGTAAAACATATATAGTGAAGATCTAGTGATTTGTTTTCTTACTTAATATCTGTTAACTTTTTGTTTTTGTTTGTATAGGGTAATTTCTGCGATTCAACAATTCCTAGAGACAACTACAAGTGGAACTTTCAACCTGGACTCAAAGAAGGTTTGTGGTATAACATGTCTGACTTCCAACCAGTCGTACCCTCAGAATACCAAGCCAGATTTGCACCATTGCCACTTCAGATTAGGTGTATTAGACAAACAACCATTTGGCCTGTTAGATCTAGGGGTTTTAGCAATTTCTTTGACTTTATGACTCCTGATGCTGTCAGAAACCCTCATCCAGATGATGGAACCTATGTGACTGGTAATAAAAGAGACTAGGTTCAAGTTATATAGTTATCTATTTATATGTCTTTCCAACCATTTTGTGTTGTGTTTTTACATAGATGCTATGGGTGTGATCTCTGTTGTTTCCACCATCGGAAGGTTTCCCTTTGTTTGTCGTTCTGGGGAGACAGATTATGAAGCTCGCTATGTCTATTTCAAGATTGCTAACAATGTGTAAGTTTTCTATATTTCTGTCTATTTATATTTTAGATAATGAAGTTTTGTGTCATGTTATATCTGGTAAAAACAATATGCTTTGATGGCTACATGAAATCTAGGGGTGAGACTATCAAATGCGTTGTTATTGGTAAGTGGTGTGAGTTCTTTATCAATGCTTGGTCCAGGAGAATTAGCTCTGTAGATTACAACTATGATAAGATAGTTGCAGTCTTGCGTTTTTGGAGGATCTCATCGTACTGTGGTAGGTTTTAATGAGATTTTGCTCTTGCTGAACTTATTTTTGCATTTTTGTATTGATTGTGTTCATTATTGTACTATAGGAAACACTGTCTTAATGAGTGAATCTTGCTGTTCACGTCTCTACATTGATCCCATTTTCTATGAGCTAGACATACCAAGCTACCTGTAAGTATCATTTATATTTTAGACTTCTTTTATGTTTTTTATTTTTCTGTGTTAACATAAATGCAACTATTTTTCTGTTAGGCGCTCATTCGAAGAGTTTTTAATTTGAACTCTGAATGTTTTTAACCCTGAATGTTTTTAATTTCCTTATTTATTTGAACTCTGAATGTTTTTAATTTCCTTTTGGTTTTTTGAACTACTACTGCAACTGCACAAGAGTTTGCAAACTATATTTCTCTTTAATATTTTAATATGTATTGATGTCTACAAGTTTAAGACTGGAGCCTATTTAGAGACAAAGGTTACAACTTAATTATGAATTTAAGTCAAACTAAATATCAAACTTAACTATTTAGGAAAATTCTTTTACTTTAGTAAAGTAAATGATTTGGTTTAAGAAACTGTTTTGAAAGCATACCTTATTTATTGGTATTGGTATGGTTTAAAGAAGCACCAATCAAGATCTTCATTGCTTGATGTATTTCCTTAATTTGCGCAATTATAAACATTACTTAACTTTTAAAAACTTATCAGTTATTATATGAATCACTAACAACAATATTTAACAGATTATGAAAATATTCTCATTGAACCATCTAACTTTATCTCAAATGCCTAGAATATAGAAAGTGTTTATATTTTCTCAACAGATCAATATTACTTGATCACTGGCGTTTCTGCCATTTAATATTGAAAAGGCTATTTCAGTATGAAGTTCATTGTTTATTAGAAAAACCATTTTGCTTAAACTCGCTGTGAGTCTTTTGTTTTCAATTATGAAAAAAAAGCCTGACTACCCTCTTTTAGACTTGAACTCTTCACCTAAACCAGCTAAAAGATCCCGTGTTATTCAAACTCCAACATTGCAAAGCCAATTAACTCAAACTTATGGCACTAAGCCTAACTAGCCTCTTCTAGACTTGAACTCTTCACCTAAAACAGCTAAAAGAGTCCAGGTTGGTCAAACTCCAACATCACAGAGCCAATTACTCAAGCTATTGGCCCTAAGCCTAAGTACCCTCTTCTAGACTTGAACTCTTCTCCTAAACCAGATAAAAGAGTCCAGGTTGGTCAAACTCCAACATCACAGAGCCAAATTACTCAAGCTACTGGCTCCAAGCCTAAGTACCCTCTTCTAGACTTGAACTCTTCTCCTAAATCAGCTAAAAGATCACGTGTTATTCAGACTCCAACACTACAGAGCCAAATTACTCAAGCTAATGTCTTGAACACAAATAGTATGTAAAATCAGCCTTTAGTAGAGTGTTTAAAGATATTACCAATCTTCCTTTGCAGAAATGATGAAACAAGTAAGACCCCTACCAGTCAGGATCAATCATTTTGTGCAACACAGACACATCAAAC